GTGGTGTTTAGCTGCCTGCTGAGGGTTAAACCAACATCAACTCACAAATGATACTGCATTCATTTCTGTCGCTACTTTTAAAATTCTCATTATCACCTCTGTCCTGTCACCACCCTAAGACTCATCCCTGTCCAGCATGTCTGCTTATCACTTCTGTAACACTTTTTTAGGAGCAAGATGCTGCATTCTTCTTTTGTTGGCACTATGGTAGGAGCTAAACTTAAGAACAAATGGCAGTAAGGAAGTGGACTGTGCCCAGATCAAGATCTTCATCCTCTCAAGCATTTTAATATAAACACCATTATTTTCAAAATAAATAAGGTCTTTAGAGTCTTTACTCTGTATTAGAAAAACAACAATATAAAACCCAAGCAGACTACAAGCCAAACAAAATTTAAAAAATCCTGATGATGGACTTCTGATGCTCTCACATACAAGTCCACTCTGTTCTGTGTTCTGTTATCTGTTATGCTTTACAAGCAGCACAGAAATGAACCTAAAGTAGTCAAGATGAAGTAACTCTCAGATTCTCCTAGATGACAACTAAGCTGCAGCAGCCACTGCACATACAGCTCCTATGTGTCACCCGCTACATCTAGTCTGCAGTGGGAAGAGAAATAATCTGTTTCTGATGAAATGACTCTTTTAGATGGATAGTGTCAGTAGTGGAGATGCTGAGACACATGTAAGAGTAAATATGTACAGTCCAGTATAACAGCTCATTAGATAGTTTCAGTAGTTGTTGATCAGCGCAACTTTCATATTTTCAGGCTTTAGCTAAAAATTTGCATCTCCTTTAATGAGGATATTGCTTAAAGTGGTGGGGAAAATTAATGATCAGAATTTTGATATGAATGGAACCCCAAAAGTCATATTAATTAAGATTTGAACATGTTTAGATGCGAAAATGTTGTTTTAATTTTTAAAATTAAGCATTTTAAAAGCTTTGAAATACTTAAACATATCTTATTTTTGATTTCTTATCATGATTAGAAATGTAAACACTGAATAGCTGGAGAAAGAGTGCCTGTTCATTTGAGATTTACAGCTCACTATTGCAGTCTCAGAAATTAAGATGCTCATCTGAGCTCCAAACCTTTAAATATTTGCTTTTGTCTTCTAATGTATAAGGGCATTCCTTTGAAAATATCGGATCACATAAACTGCATAATTAGCACTGAATTCCCTGTATAAAGAACAGTAACCTAGAATTGTCAGACTATAATCCCTGTCCCTCATGAATCTGCTGCATAGCCATTAAGTTATTATAGTATAATACAGTTAAGCAATTAAAATAAAAATTAAACTCATGTTATCTGACACTTTCAAATTGTGGTTTTGATGGACAATATGAAAACAGGAATAGTGAAAGGAGTTTTATATTCCTCCCATTTCACTGACCTTCATCCTTATTTCTAGCTTTTCCGCTCAAGTATCAAAAGACCTAGTGTAATAAAGGATGACAGGAAATACATCTGACAAAACTCTCTCTTAAGTCTTGTTGAATAAAATATTCAATGGAAATGCTTCTTAGCGCCAGCAGGTTAGTATTGAAAGTGTAATGGTTTTAAAGGAAGCCTAAACACCCCTCTGACAAATGACAGCTCCAGATTTTAAAATTGAGATTTGAGATAAAGATGCTGCTGAAGTTATCAAAAGCAATGTACCCAGCAGTTGTCTAATGCACATGCTCATGACAATACTATTTGTCTGTCAGAAAATCACCTGCATCGGTGATCTAACGCTGATGATGCTGGCACATGTTACGTAAAGTAGAAGCCCTGATCATACTGTCAGTCACACAGCCAGAGTTCTTGCCCTTCTCTTTTATGCAAAAAGTTGCCCTTTCAGATTTCTCTAGCATAGTTGGAGGGACCAGCTTGTCTGAGCTTTGCATTAACAGTTGTTTCCATTTGCTTGAAAAATAAATCAGAAAAAAACAGCCTATAAAATCTATTTTATTTTGCTTATTTGTTTTCAGTAATAACCATGCTAAATACTAAAGATACTGAAGGCTTATATTTTAGCTAAGCTGTTCTGGACAAAATTCTCACAACTACAGATACATGTTGAAGCCTAATATAAAAGTGTAAATTCCAGGCAATTATTTGGACATATCTGCACATATTTCCCACACAGGGTTTTTGCATACCAGGTTTGAAAAACCATGGACATGGTGCAAGCTGAAGTTGACTTCTGCTGCAAACTAGTCAAATGTGTTTGCACAACTTTTCTAGCATTCTCCAGCCTCCCCAAAGCCTCACCACCAGAGAACAGTGTCTCCTTCAACCTCTGATGCCATCAGAAGAGGCTGTTCTTTATGGGTAATTATGAATGCAGAATCCTTTTTCTGTTTTACATAATACGTTCAATTATTTTGAATTGCTATTAGTATTTTCCCAAATGGAATTGAGGAATACAGATTTTTTTAATGCTATATCCAGACACTTAAAATGCAAGACTACTAATATGGGCTCCTTGCCATTATTTATTGCCCAGGCAGCATTCAAGGAGGATCCGTGTCACTGGAACGAGAATGAAGGTCCTCTCATCACTTCACACGTTTTACATTTCTCTTGGAAAAGTTATCTTTCTGGGAATCATTGTTCCTCCACTTTTCAAAAAAGGATATCGATAAAACTTGGAAATTTGAATGTAGATTTCAAAGATCTATGTGTGAGAATGTGAAATTAAATTCAGTCATCAGGCAAATCTGACCAAAAGTGTCTTTTGTTTGGTTTCTTGATAACAAAGCTTCAAGATAAAATAAACAGAATGTTGCTTAAGTTGATAGATACAGTTTTAGATTTAGAATTCTTTTAAAACTTCAAAAGAAAATGCCTCATTTTACTCTTAAAAGCTCTGGTATCAGGTAATTATTTAAAAGTTGGGCTATTTCTTATACAAAGACATTTCTGGTCTCATTGTCCTTATGCAGACACAACTCCCATTGAAATCATCCTGAACTTTGCTTCTGTGACTAGTATGGGTTTGAATGAGATGCTGAGATTTCCAGGAGGCTCATTGTTACACTTTTTATGTTTTGCTGTATATTCCATTCCACTCCTCCTTTATTGTGGCAAAACTACTGCTTGGTTTTCTTTTGTTCCAAATATCTATTCATTCTTTTTTAAGAGAACAAAAATAGAGAAGGAAAAAATCTGCATTAAAGGAAATGAATATTTGTGTCTCAGGGAATGCTTCCTTTTAAAAGTTCCTTGAAAAACTGCAAGAAAATAAAACAAAACCTGAGATATATTCTGGGTGGACTGTGGTGTATAAATATCTGTATTTTGACCCAATCTGTTTTAAGCAAGTGCATTAACATGCATGTAGTTCATTTGACTTTTACACTGGTATAAAACAGCAGGCAAATTAACTAGATTCTGAGTATACTTAAATTATTATTTCTCCTGGCACTAGATCATTCGGTGAAATAATTTTTCCAGAGATCCCTCCCCCTGCCTTCTAACAACCTGCTGTTTCTTGCCGCTGTTGTCATCAGAAAGCTCTTACAGACTAAAATATACTAAATAAAGCAGACATTAGCCAAGAACTAGATGCAAAAGCCGCTACAATAAATGCTCCCTGTCATGGAGTGGCCTATACACATAGGATTGCCAGCATGCAACGAACTTCATCCAGTGCATCAGACGTCCCTGGGAAAACTCTTTAGAGAAAATGAAACAATCCCTATGTACTGAGTGAATATATATATGAGATATTCATTCAAATATGTGAGAGCAGACAAAAATGTAGAGTTGTGAGAATACAGCCTCATCTTTAACGTCATCCTTGCATGGAAGATGAGCTTGGAAAAGAAAGTTCCTAGGACTCTTGGGTACAAATCATGTATTTGGTAAATACTGTTTTTTATGGCACATAGCAGTTTTCTGTGTAAGACACCCTCAGTGTTCCAAGGACAATAATTAATTGGTTATCTGTCAAGCTTATCCCACAGGACCTAATCATCTCCCTTTTTGCTAACGTTCCCTTCTTCTCCAAAGGTGCTTTTTCTTTCAAATTTTATAAACGATTACCATAATTAATTTAAACATGGAGATTTGTTTGCAAGCTGCCCTTAGAAGTCTGTGGTTTCTTTTTCAGGCCTTGCTGGTGTTGCATGCCTAAACCCATGTCTGTTCTTTTGTCTGCTATATAATACTGTCTCACAAAAAGTGCTACCTCTCGCTATAAACTGAGTCTTACTTAGAAAATTCATTAATTAGTTCCCATTATCCTTCCTACCTTGCATATTTCCCTCTCTACTTATAGTTTTATGTAATTTGCTTTGCTTGGCTTTAGTTTTTTTCATTAGACTGTGAGCTTTTAAGTTCAGGGATATAACTTGATTTAATAGGATCTCATTTGATAAGATGCCGGCAGGTAGTACAGGATGTAAATAGTAGAAATAATTGTCCATAAATGCTTATTAATGCAAATATATCTCCAGTACTTATTTAGAGCATTTTATTTCAAATTTTCTATTTTGATCTAAAAGTTGTCTTTGTATTAGACTCTTGCTCATCCAGCCTGTGAAGTTAAGCACTGAAAGTTCTGCTGCTGCAGGGGGTCAAGGAGAGATGCGTCACCAGATAAAAGTCAAGCTGATCGTTTTTAGTTGCTACTGGCTACTAATTTGATGAACCTCCATATAGGACAGGTGTAATAAGACATTTGTCTAATGTTCCCTAGTTTCCAGATGCCCTTGCCATGTCTGAACAGAGCACTGACATTTCTGTCATCAAGTTTTAGTTTAGAATCTCAAACTTGAGGTAGTTTCAAATGTTTTGTGAACTTTATGGTGGTGATTAAAGAGAAAAGAAGTTCTACTCTCTCCAGAACATTAATGACAGACCAGATGACACATCTTCCATACAAGAAATAAGATTAAGCACTTTGAAAGCCAAGGCATTTCAATAGAAGTGAAATTGAGCTTTTCGGAGCAGTCTATCCAATCACCTCACATAGCAAGCAAATCACTCTGCTGAGTGATTTTATAATGTGGAATGTTTTTAGAGGACTATTGCAAACTTCGTATCATCCTCAAGCACAAACCACCATACACTTGCTATAGAAATGACGCTATTAGGGGCAGCTGTACAAATGACAAATCTGCACATAGATTGCCAAATAAAGTAGTACAAATTCTGTGCAGTAGCTGTGCTTTTTAAACCTTTCAATTTTGTGAAATACACTTCTCTAATGATGCTCATGTTGTTATTCCAACAATAGATTACATCCAATCACTTTAGGATTTTAAAGCTAGTCTGGAAAAGCATCAGAAAATGTAATTTATCGTGAACTTGCAGTCAGCTGTAGTAAGTGAGTTGACAGGCATTTCCTCCTTCTACAATCTTTTGGATCACTTTTACCATTTGGTCATGAATTTGGGAAGAGAGATGCCAGGCCACTCTACACTCTACCTACAACTGTGCTGGTGATGTTTGCTATCTCTGTCAAAGTGGGACAGAACAACATTCATTTTCTCAACAATCAAAACTGGAGCCCTACGTTATCAAATTGCAACCTGTTTTCACACCTCAAACCAATCAGAACTATGCTGGAGCAAAATTCAGTGAGCAACCCTCACCAAGTATTCTTCCCAAGCCACTAAGCCACTGGGTACCTGTTTCTTTTAAACCTTCTGATAAAGAAATAATGACATTTCAGCTTAAAACATTACTTAAAGTCCAGGCTTGAGATGTAACTTTTCATATTTTTAAAGTTTTCATATTTTTAAAATCTTTGTCTTCCTCTTCAGAGCCAGGAAATTTTGCAGGATGGAGAGAAAGGAGGGTATGGCTATGTAGTTAATTGTTTTTACTTTCTAACTTGCTAGTAAGACAGTGTCATTGCTTTTCAGAATATAAAACTGTGCTTATTTTTTGGTGAAGGCTGCAAAGTTGGAGACTTGTGGAAGCTGTGGAGTATGTTTATTTAGTGTTTCTCAGACAGACCTGGGCTTTCTCTGTTTCCTCCTCATGGCCAGCCACAACCATGTGGCTCCAACACAGAGGGTGGGCAGGGAAAGCTTAACGTCTGCCAGCAAAATGCTCTTTTCCCCTAACCAGTTGAGGTTGTGTCTGCCAGTTGACTTACCCGTACTGTGACCTGCTTTATTCCTCTGATTCCGTCTGAGGAAAATGGGTCTGAATTCTGCATGTATTATCTAAAGCTTTTTGAATGTTTGTTTCACATTATCATTGGAGCCTTACTTATCAGCTGTTTTTAATCCTCTGCAAACATGGTTTAAAAGAAAGCATTGGGAAGAGAACAAAGTAATCTAAATCTCCCTGTGGATTTGCATCAGTGATGTAGCATAGGCAAAGGACAAATCCCCCAAAGCTGTGGATCCCCAATTATAGGACTTGCCTTGTACATGCTGGAACAGCAGGAGCTGTCAAGTCTGTAGCTGTCCTCTGCACCACTGCCATTGGCTCACAGCAGAAGGCTCACAGAGCAGAAATGACCTGTGCTGTGAGCCCTTCCTAAAGTTTGGTTTCCAAAGCGGTCTTCACCTTGCAGTGACTGAGAAGTGTGGTGGGTGGAATGACTCGTTCCTTGCTTCTCCTCACTCTCAGGCTGTGCTCTCCCGTGCCCTTGTTGGAGAACACCAGCTAAAGAGATGTCTGTGTGGGGAAGGGAGACGGATGTTCCCTGTGAGTGGCTTTTTTCAGATTTCCCATCACCGAAGCCTGACAGAGACTTCATTGTTTATAATTACTGTAATTTTGTGTTGCCAAGTTGTAATGCAAAATGCCTATGCAGATATTTTTATACGTTTACAGTATTGTCTGGCAGTTGGGGACTTTGTAAAGATGGAACTTGTGAATTCTGGGTCATTTGATGAAACCATTTTATTGTGAATGCTTTGATACAGATGCAATCCATGATATACTGCTAAGGCAGCATCGTGTCTCTCAGAGCAGGACTGCGGGCTGGGTGAGGAAGAGGTGAAATGGCTGCGCTTCTGGGCGTGCTCTTCAAAACATGGGTGTGGGGATGTGAAAATTCAACCTCTAATGATTCCCTGCAGAGCTTGAAGCAGTTATATCCTTTCACTGGATATAACTGGAGTTGCATCAAGCCTAAATTTTACTCATTATTTAGTATTCTAACATTTGCTTTGAAACACTGTTTTATTGATTAATTATATAGCATGCCTTTATATATTCTCTCTTTATAGAAAGTGTTTCCGAAAAAGGTTGTAAGATTTCCTTTTACATTACCTGATTTAAATTAAACACCAGAACCATAACATGCTGTAGTCATCTTTTAACCTAAAGCACAGCACTATGGTAGTGTATTATTATTTTTTGTTAACTTGGAAGTTTGGTGAGTACCAAACGGAAATGTTAACAAATGAAATACACTAAAGCAGAACTCATTTACATGTGATATATTATTCCTGCTCCTTTGAACAAATTTGTCTTTGTGCTCTAATATAACAGCATCAGCTTTGACCTCTCACTTCAAAATGTTGTCATTGTATTGTAAATAGCAAATATAGTATTCTATATACATACTATCATTGCAGTTAGACTTGACTTGGCCTCATGCTGCCTTGTTTCACTGAAGTCAATGAGGTTACATGGTTAAGTGAGATCAAAATATACTCCTTCCATTTAGATTAAAATGGCAAATTACAGCT